TTGAAGTTCTTCCAAGTTGGCGGTAATATCTCAATAATTGCAGCCACTTGGAAAGATTCATTAAACTCCTTCCCTTCGACATGAATCTCATGTAGGATCACTTGAAAATCTTGAACTTGACTTATAATAGTTTTGAAATCCACCATTTTGTAGACAAGGAATTTGCCCATAACGAATTTCTTCATTCCAGCATCTTCTGTCTTGTATTTTTTATTCAAGGATTCTCACAGCTCTCTAGCCATTTTGATTGGACTATACATATTATATAATGTGTTATCCAATCCATTGATGATATAATTTTTACACAGAAAATTAGAATGCTTCTATGCATCTACCGTAACAACAACTTGGGATACAGAAACAAGCACAATATGATTTATAATAGCAGAAATATTATTATCATTTGCATCAATTTCTGATAAACAAAGAATACAAAATATTCAAAATTAGGAAAATACTACACTTTTCAAAACACATTACTAAAACAAAGACAATCTATGTTACTGTTTGAAATTACTGTTTCAATGTTACTGTATAGTGTCACTATTTGGTATAACTGTTTAAATCATAGGCCTAAACAAAGTCACTATTTTGTGTAACTGTAATAGTTTGTTGTAACTGTTTAAATTATATGAATGAACAGAGTTACTGTTTGAATTAAACACAAAACCAGAACATGCAATTTTTCACAAATTTTTTCAAGTCTCTTCAAAATATTACAGATTGTAAAAAATAAGTTTTAACAATTTGTAATATTTTAGAACAATTTAAAATACTAAAACATGTATCAGAAACACAACAAGTAATTATACAAATTGAAAATCTATATTAAGATTGTTGTTTGTGGTATTCCAAATATAATAAAATCACTTGTTTAAATTTATTATATTGTGTAACTTAGAATAAAACACTAACAGTCAAGTGCGAAACAGTTACACAGACTATAGAAACAGTTACAGAAGAATTAACGAAACAGTTACAGTAGTCTTATCAAACAGTTACACGTAACTGTTTGTCAAACCAATATAAATACTAACCCAGTTGTACAACATGAACTGTTATTAAACTTTCAAGGCTAGTGTTTAACACTATGTCCTTAAGACAGATTTCACCCCCACGCACGATGTTTATGGTCTGCCTCTCAAAAATACAATGATCTTTACACGAGTAGAAGTAGTACTTCAATCTACTCGTCCAAAGAACCAGAATTTGTGTTTTGTACTCTCCAAAATGCAGACTGCCTTAATGATGTATAAGATTGTCTTAAATGACTAAGAATGTATTGAATGAATTGGATTTGTTGGATGCAAAATGATTATTTAACTGGGTTATTTATAGAGAGAATGATGACTGATTCGGACAGTCACCATATGAACAGATGCAACCCAGTAGTCACATTCAGCCAAAAGACACTACTTGTGTAACTGATTTCTAGAAACAAACACAACTCAAAATTTCATACTAAAAAAAAATTAACCTCTGAGCCAGTATGAACAGATACCTAAATTTAATTTCAATTTAGAAATTCTCGTCCAATTAATTAAACAAATTTTCTCCAAAAAGATAAGACTTGACCTAAACCACACCCACACCCACACCTGCCCCCCCCCCCCCCCCCGAGTTGTGGTGTGGTGGCACACGCACGTGTGTGGTAGAACCGAAGACATGTAGGCACTCACTCCGCTCATAAAATTGTGGTACACATGGGGCCTAATCCAATAGAGCAAACTTGACCTATATATGCCCATCTAAAACTTCTTCCTCAACCAATGTGAGATTGATGTCAAATACCATATTGCACAACCTTTATTTCTACATTTTAAAGGGGTCACTTTGAAGCCTATTTTCTCATTCATTTCTTACTTGATTTAAACAAGTGAATATACTACATTATTCTCCTCATAGAGTAGAATACGAACCTACAAAAGTTTACTCGAAATAACGAACAGGTCCCATTTTAATTTAGGTTCAAAGTCGACCAAAATTTAATTTTTTACACTTAAGAAACTATTTTGCGAAATTGTTTTGGTCCAACAAAACCTAGATAAGAGGGAACCTTACCTCTTGTAGTGTGTGCACGAGATAGAACGACTTCCCACGATACCCAAAGATGTTTTGTTCAACCTCTAACCAAAACATTGATTTTTGAAATGTGTCTCAATTGAGCATGGATGGTATCTATGCGTAGCCCTCACTGTTATGAGCAACTTTAATTCTTACTCCTAAGCAAGTCGTCATTTGGATCTTGTTAGATTGCATGAATAAGATGAAAAAGATTAAAGAAATTGGGTTTTCTTCTTTCTTTCTCTTTTACTATCGTCATTTGAAGAAGTAAAATGAGCGAAGACTAAGTCTTTCACTTTATGACCTTTTTTATATGCTTGGCCTTAAGGCGCCAAGTGTTACATTTTAATTTGTCTAATTTTGTCCCAACTATTACATCCCGCCTGTCATGTTTGATACTATTTTATGAGATGTACTTTAAATTATATTATGAATTTCGCAATTAAATGTGATTACAGAATTTAATGATGCGATAGGTTCGCATCGTAACCATTCAAAAATTTGACTATCTCAGAATTTAATGAAAATTGACTAAGTAGCCCAATTTTACGAGACAAATCCAACGATAATGTTTGTTTTGTCATTCGAGTTCTACAAAAAAATTTGATTTTTTGACTTTTGCCTTAACAACTAATTATCATTTTAACCCTTTTAATTAAAATTTAAATTTTTCCCGAGTTTCACAAATATGCTATTGAAACAATGGACAATATATGGGGCAAAGACTTCAATGAGTACAGACAAAAAAGGTGGCTTGAAATTGGGGTTTGTAAGCAAATGAGTCCGTTTCGGTTTTTTGTACCTCACGTTGGACCAAGAATATACCTTGGGAAGATATGTTCCATGTTCAAATGAAGTCTACTGCAGGTGAGGTGATACAGGGGTTTGAGATGGATGTATTGGATATGGACAAGTGCCTTGAGCATTGGTTATCTTTGACTCTAGAGATGTAAGATGGATTACCCGTGAGAGGTAAAGAGAAAGGTGTTAATTAAGGGTCTATATCATTTGGGTTTTTCTTTGAGTTTTCATTTGTCTTCTGGCTTGCATGTTTTAATTTTTCTCTTATATTGTTTGTTGCGTATGCAGTGTTGGCACGCAAGACGGTGGTTTGTACTATTAACACTTAATTATGTTGTTGGCATGTAGAGAAAGGGAGGTCAAGTAGGAAAAAATATTTTAATTTCTTTTGCCTTTTTGTTTGGCTCGGTTTGGTCAAAATAAGAAATTTTAATTTTTTGCGGGCATTTGATTACGATAAATTTTTTTACAGAAAAGGAAACTTTTAATTTAGTTGGAAAAAAAAAATGTGAAGAAAATTCAGTTACATACCTTGAACATAATCGGGGCAATTTTTTGGTGTCGAACTTGCTATCGGGTATTTTTTTATTATTTTGTGTTACCATTAATTTGTCATGAAGCGATGAGTTTTTTGTGAGTGTTGATTTCTGGTATAATACTTTGGAAGTAATATTCACATAATTTCCATATACATCTTCCCTTGGTCTTCAAGGAACTTCATGCAACACAATTTGATAAGATCTTGTGTTATTGTTTGTACTCATTTCCATTCTCCTATCTCTAAGCTATTTTTTATTATGTTTAAACTTATTAGCTATTTATATCGAAAATCAGTTTTATGAGGGATTCCATTTCTTTGTTTGGATTCTATAGTTACACATCTCTTGGACGGAGTTCAGTCTCAAGTTTTTTACCAAGGATTTGGCAAAATGTTAGGCTATTAATTTGTTCCTTTTTATAGCTTACAAGACATTGACTTCTCTTTCCCTAAAAAATTTCCACTGGACAGGAGTTGTTTTTTGTATTCTGCTATGGTTAATGTTGAAATCACAAGGAATCACCCAAATCTCATTTGTTGTTCCTAACAACCCAAGTGGTTTAGAGTGACAACAAACTTAGCATTTTAAATGGCTAAATTTTACTAAAGGAGTAATCTACTCAAGTTTGTTCCTCTTCTAGATGTTTGGTATATTATAAGATAATTGTAATTGATTGGTGTAATTATTTAATTTAATTATGTTGTTGTAAGTTGACATAAGGAGAGAGAATAAGGAGAGAAAGACTAGTGGTAAAAAAAAATAGGGGGAGTTAAATTAAATTTTTATATATTTAAAAAAAAAATCATCAATGAGAGAGACAAAATAGCATAAAAAATAAAGGGAGTTATTATGTAACTCAAATTTTCATCCTAAATGAAAAGGACTATTGGATGAATGAATCTCATCAATTTTTTTAAATGAGACTCACTGATCCAATATTTCCCTTTCAATTAGTTTATAAATTTAAGGGTTAATTGTACTGGAGGTCTCCAAAGTATGAAGTTTGTTTCATTTTGATCCCCAATATTTGAATTGCATCATTTTAGTCTTTAAAGTATTGAATATATTTCTATATAGTCTCTCAAACAGACAACGTCCAGATTACTAAAATTTTTTTATCATAAATTTGTCAAGTGATACTTAAATATGGACAAAAAATAATTTAAATAACTCCTGACCAAATTTTTACTCTAATTTTGATTAAATAGATACCTAAATTACACATTTTTAATCATGAGTTATTCAAATTTTAGTCAAAAGTTATTCATATTATACATTCTTTTTATCAAGAGTTATTCAAATTTTGTTTAAGAGTTATCAAAATTATTATTTGTTCATATTTATGTATTACGTAACAAGTTTATGATAAAAAATCGTAAGTAATTTGGACGTTGTCTACTTGAAGGACTATATAGAAATATATTCAATACTTCAGGGACCAAAATGATACAATTAAAACATTAAAAGTTAAAATAAGATAAATTTCATATTTTAGAGATTTCTAGTACAATTAACCCTAAATTTAAATTACACACAGCATTGTCCGAGAATAAATAGATTACTGAGGGAGACATATAGGAGAGAGAGTAATGTCGACCCAGCCCACTTTTAGTGACCGGGTCGGTTCCACTCCCACCCTTTCTTCCTCCTAAGTAATTTCCTCCGAACAAACTACCAAAGAACTGAACAGAGATGGAGAAGAGAAGGTCAACGAAGGCAAGGAAAGAAGAAGACGATGAAGACAATACCATCTGGTGGTGGCTGGTTGAAAAGGGAATTATACCCTCATTTCTCTGCATAAGTGTCTTTGCACTTCTGGTGAGAGTCTCCGTCTCACTCCACCCTTACTCTGGTGCTGGAAATCCACCAAAATATGGAGACTACGAAGCACAGAGGCATTGGATGGAGATCACACTCAACCTTCCACCTAAAGAATGGTATCGAAATAGCTCCACTAATGATCTCAGCTACTGGGGACTTGACTACCCTCCTCTCACTGCTTACCAGAGCTATGTCCATGGTCTTTTCCTCAGATCCTTCGATCCCGAGTCGGTTAAGCTTTACACTTCTCGAGGATACGAGTCTTACTTTGGGTATGTTTTCAATGTGTTCGACGAAATTCCCGTGAGAGCCCTTTTCCAAAATTTCATCTTTCGGTATTATAGAATTAATTAAAAACTACCCCCTCAATTTTCTGTTGTTTTCTTGTTTTGCCATGCAGAAAATTGCTCATGAGGTGGACAGTTCTATCCTCTGATGCTTTGGTGTTCTTCCCTGCCGTTCTTTATTTTGTCTTTGCTTATTATTCTGGGCGCGGTGGGCGTAAAAGTGATATGGCATGGCACATTGCGATGATTTTACTGAATCCATGTCTCATTTTGATCGACCATGGTCATTTTCAGGTATGGATAAAAAATTTGTTTCCTTTTTGCCCCTTTTTATTTCTACTTTCATGCTGACATTATAATTGTGTGAATGTTTTGGTTCTCATCTTCATATAAATTATTTTCAGTACAATTGTATTAGCTTGGGGCTTACGGTTGGAGCTGTTGCGGCCATTCTATCTAACAGAGACCTTCTTGCTTCTGTCTTGTTCAGTCTTGCTCTCAACCACAAGCAGGTGAGGCCTAGTTTTTTTTTGGTGTCTTCCCCAGATTGCTTCTTGTTATAATTTTTCAATTTTATACAATTTGTCCCTCAAAATTCCCATAGGGCCTACTTCCTAGAATGTTCCCGGACTAGATGTTTCAGCAAGGCATTGATGCTTACTGATAAAGCTTCTATCTTTTCACCGGGTTTTACTGATTGACTTGATGTTAAACACTCCATGCCTCTGTGTATGCTGTCATATGCTTCTGAACATGACGAGATTATTTGGGCTACAAAAAATAAGAAACTATAATGCCTTTATATTTATTTTCTCTCAAGTTGATGGGAGGGAAGACACAACTGTATGCTACTAAGAGATGCGAAGGTGAACTTTCTAAGCATAGAATTTGGATTATCATGTGGAATTGGAACTATAAAACTTCAGAAACAACGAATTGTCTCTTCTTATGAGACATAAGGTATGGGACTGATAGGTTGGCAATGTGAATAAGTTACTGGATAAGAAACTAGAAGACTAAAACTGCAATACATATTGGCTAAGATGTCATGTTAAAGAAGGGATGTTTCTTAAGGTCTGGTAAATAGAAGGCAGACAGATAATGAAATTTGAAGACAAGAAAATCCAAACTGAATTATGTGTATGATGCTCGTTTGAGGGAATTAAAAAGCTCTCTGAAATTTTGTGCTCAATATGATGAGTAGATCAACCATAAGATAAGACAACTCAAGATAAAACATGTGCTCAATGTGGTGTATGGATCAACCATACGATCTACAATGTGTGTTCAATAGGTGTTTGGAGTACTTTTGGTGTTCTTAGTGTTAGTCAACAATTGCTTTGGTATGGCACTTGACGGGAGAATGATGTGAATCACCTAACACTGTAATGAATAGTGTCAGGAATTTGGCCTACGATAATTTCATATAATTTGGGGGTTTCAGGATGCTTTGAAAGATATAGGATCAATCAGCCTATGTTGGTTAGAGATTTCAATGGGAATGGAGGGTAATAAGGCACCTGGCTTTTTCTCCCCCGCCTTTTTTTTCCTCAATTAATTAAGTATAAGGCCAATTAATCATCTTTTAATTAGGCTTTTGGAAATTGGAGAACTCAAGAGGCCAGACTAGATCCAAAGAGAGGACTTTCCAGACACGTGATGGGTGATGAGGATGATGGAGCGATGGCCTAGGAAGATGGGGCTCTAATAGGCAGAGGTGGAGCCAAAAATTTATACGAGGGGTGGACACTAATTGCAAGTTTTAACTTTTTATTTCCTAATACATATAAATTTTTTAAATCATATATAGCACCTAAAAATTCATTAACACTTCTTTTTGCTGATGGTAATAACTATGACACGAACTTTCTTTTAAATTATTGCTCCATGATTGTTTCAAGTAATTAATAAAAAGAATGGATATGAAGGAATTGTAGATAGAAGCAAATACAAGAACAAATACAATTTCTACTTTAATATTATCGTTAATATATTAAAGGAGAAATTCAGGTGGAAGCAAATATAAGCACACAATGAACCAAGAAGTCAAAGTAAATTGGAATACAAAAATGCTAAATTACAATTCTAATTGTAATTAATTTTCAATTAGACCATCTCTAATGGAAACCCAAACCTTTACCCAAATTTGAGTTTAAAAAAAATGGTTAAAAATCTTGATTTGGTATAGATATTTCCAATGGAGAAACTCAAATTTAAAGAAAAAGAAAAATCCAAATTTAAATAAGGATAATACCAAATTTAAAAGATGTTAAATTATGACCATTGGATATGTAAAGAGGGTGAAATTTCACCATTAAAGATTTAGGTATAAATTTGAGTAAAAAAAGAGTCTCTTTCATTTGATATAGGTATAAGTCTAGTATTGAAGAAGGTTTTTAGGATTTTTTTACGCAAATTTAAATTTGTTAAAAAAGGGTAAGGATTAGAGATACTCTTAAGTTGTAATTTTAAAAATTCTAAGAGTTAGTGGACCTAATTTAGTGGATTGTTTAAGTGGACTTAACATTTTTTTTTTTTTTGGGCTGGGCACAACTGGGATACTTAGAGGCAAGAAACAAGACATTTATAGGTAATGCAAAAAAAAAAAAAAA